GGGGGGGGGGGGGCGTTGTTGCTGCAACAATCACCACATGGGAGGGTTATTGTGACAGTTATTCTTCCTTTGTTCCTCCTCACCGGTGTCGCTGTGGTTGGGTCGGTGACACTGCAGCTGGAAGTCTTTGTTCCACACACACAGCTCCCCCCCGCCCGAGACAAACACACACAGCCGCTCCAGCACCAGCAGACACTGAGGGACACAAGGATCAGCACGTGTGTTATTTATTTTCATTTTGACGTGCACACATCAATGCACACACAAACAAAATATCAGCAAAGAAAATAATTAAAATACAATGAGCCTTTAGATGCTGTGATTAACCTTAATGTGTGATCAAGGGGATGCAATATACATTTCTATCTTGAATCATAACTGTCAGAAGAAAAAAAGTGTCAAACGTTTTAATTGGTATTTTACCTTTCTTGCCAAAACAAACATTATTGCCTACACCCTACCCCTACACACTCTGTGGAGTGACACTCGCAGCTCAACGAGGCTCCCTCCTGTCAGATGGAGGGAGTAAATACAGCAGCAAGCTTTGGGACGGCCTCCCCTCTCTCCGGCAGAAACAGGACAAATGCCGTAACTGTATGTAACAACGGTTTCAAATCAGCATCTCTTTGACAAAAAATGTAAATTAATAACTCAAATAAAACTCCAAACATATTTCATTGTGTTGCTTTTTTTGTAAAGCTCTTTTGGTTTTACACCTGATTTTTATAAGCTTCTTAGTTTTTCAAGTCTGTAAATATACACAACTTCATAATAAAATGCACACATTTACCTTTTTCTAGACTAACCACAGGTATGATCCTAAGTTAAAACATATGAGGTTATCATGAGGTTGTTAACATCGCAGTTTATCAGTGGATGTTTGCTGGAACTANATAAACATCAGGTTTAAAACTAAAAGAGCTTTGCAAAAAAGTAACGCAATGAAATATGTTTGAAGTTTTATTTGAGTTATTAATTTGGATTTTTTTTCGAAGAGATGCTGATTTGAAACCGTTGTTACATACAGTTACGGCATTTCCTGTTTCTGCCGGAGAGAGGGGAGTCCGTCCCAAAGCTTGCCACTGTATTTACTCCCTCCATCTGACAGGAGGGAGGCTCGTTGAGCTGCGAGTGTGGCTACAGACGGAGTTCACTCCGTCACGGAGGAGTAAGGTCGAGGGAGTGGTTTGAGATTGGGCCTCAATCGCGAGTACACATGCTGCAGAGCAACTATTTCAAGTATACTACGTCATCAAGTGGCGCAGAAAGACTGTTTTAGGCCCAATCCCAAATCACCCCCTCGACCCTACCCCTCCGTGACGGAGTGAACTCCGTCTGTAGCCACACTCGCAGCTGAATGAAGTTCCCTCCATTAAGGGTTAAGGGTATAAATATAGCGGCAAGCTTTGGGACAAACTCCCCTCTCTCCGGCAGAAACAGGACATGCCGTAACTGTATGTAACAACGGTTTCAAATCAGCATCTCTTTGACAAAAAATGTAAATTCGTAACTCAAATAAAACTCCAAACATATTTAATTGTGTTACTTTTTTGTAAAGCTCTTTTGGTTTTACACCTGATTTTTATAAGCTTCTTAGTTTTTGCAACAGTCTGTAAATATACACAACTTTATAATAAAAAGCACACATTTACCTTTTTCTAGACTAACCACAGGTATGATCCTAAGTTAAAACATATGAGGTTATCATGAGGTTGTTAACATCGCAGTTTATCAGTGGATGTTTGCTGGAACTACTTGTTAACAGCTTGTTTCCCGACGGACACACACAGCGTGACTCCGGTCAGGTAGAGACCGGTCTCAAGTCAGCACCGCTGCAGACTCGCTGTTTGAGGGCTTGATAGCCCACTCCCCCTCCACACTCGTTTGTTTGGAACAGTGCAAACGGAGGGGTAGTGTGTAGGGCGTGGTTTGGGATTGGGCCATTATGTTTTATATCAGTATGTATGGAGCTTACTGGCCATTAGAAAATATGGACGTTTCCTTAAAAAACTACTGAAAAATCTTCTCGACATATTCTTGTTAGAAAGTAATGGTTAATAAAGAAAAAGCTGTAACATGGAACAGTGAAGTGCACAAAGCAGAAATACACACTATAGCGATAAGAAAAGGAGAATAGGAGTAGTTCCTTACTCAAATGTAACATTAATAGCATTATCTCTAGTCGTTGGGTAAATAGAGCGCCATCAAACTCAATGATATCTCTATGTGGCTTTTACTTTAAAACATGCCTTCTTCAGGGATGACACCCAACTGCTAAATGGTCATAACATTAACATAACAAGGCTCATGTCTATAAGGGGCTTATCAATTACCTTTACAGAGGACTGAAGATCTGAAATGGTCTGAACCCTGTTGCCTGTGTCCGGGTCCCACAGCTGACCAATCAGGTTAAGGAAAATAAAGTTTGAATTATAAAACACAAGAATACATTCTGAATGATTTTAGTATGTATTTAAAAGTATTGTGTGCTTTGAGGATACGCTGAGACTCCGGTCAGAGGACGCTGTGAGGAGCGAGGTGTGTGTCGTGTGTCCATCATCACAGGTGAAGGTGGTCATGGCTGTTATCTGCTGGGAGTGGCCCCTCAGCTCCTGGAGTCTCTCTCCGGTCTAACAGTCAGGAAGAAGAGAAAGAAAAAACATTAGTGCCACTGTGTTCATTTTCACAATGCACTGAAATAATCAACTTGCAGCTTATCACCTCAACATTCCACACCAAAACCAGGCCGTCATCGCCCGCTGAGGCACATCTGGAAAACATAAGATGACAGTTTGAGTTGTAGACTCATACGTGACAGAAATGCTTCGGTTCACCTGAAGGCCTCATCTTAAAAAGGTAGCCAAACACACCAAGTTCATCTCTATCTGTGTGAGGAATCATTTCCTGTAGCTCCATCTCCTCTCGAGGAATCTTAAAAAAACATCTGTCCTGGGGCTTCCACCTCCACTTGCCCTTTGACCCCTCGAGCATCCACACTACCTGTTCCCAAAATCAACAGACAGGATGACCGGATAAAAAAAGAGATAAAATGAGAAGAGAGGAACTGTCGAGGATACATTTTCGGACTTCAAAAGCAATCTGGAGAGAATTTTCTGCCCTTTGCCCCCGACTGAGGACCTGAGAGCGGAGAGGACGAGACCCAGAGGAGGAGGTTATTACTGGGGGAGACCAGTGGTCTCCCCCAGTAATAACCTCCTCCTCTGGGTCTCGTCCTCTCCGCTCTCAGGTCCTCAGTCGGGGGCAAAGGGCAGAAAATTCTCTCCAGATTGCTNTGGTTTATAAATAGTTCTTAATGATTAATAAAGTGTTTACAACCTAAGTAATAACCTAATTATAAACCCTCTATATCACACGTGTCAAACTCAAGGCCAGGGGGCCAAATCAGGCCCTTGGTGGATTTAATTTCGGCCCGCAGGATAATTTCTAATTACTATTAGATCTGGCCCGCCGGTATATTGCACGCACACCTTCACTCAATCCTGAGGGTTTCCTCAGCTCAGAGCCTGACCCCAAACATTGATGAACTTGCACCCAAGATGCCAAGTGTCTGGCTTGAACTAGCATCACAGAGCAGCACACTGAGTTTACATGGATGTTTCCTTCTGCACTTTTTCTCTCACAACAACAGGGCATGTTTAGTTTTTTCTTTGAGGGAAATTGTTTTTTTGAAGCTGTTGTTGGCCTGTGGAAAAATGTAATCATAAGAAATAACTCTGGAAAAGCTGCAGATAGAGCCATAAGAAATGAATGCAACTGATTATTTAATGTTTCATGTTGTTTTTATAGGCAACAATTTAAGCTTTGTTAGTTCCAGGTTTAATATGTGCAATAAGTTCATTTCAATAAGTTCTGCAATAAACATTGAACCAGTCCGGCCCTCGACTAGCACTAACTGTTGATTTTTCTATTTTGTATTCTTTTTTGTGGGTTTTAAACTGCTGTTTGTCTTGGCTATAGGTTTCCCTTGAAAAAGAGATTCAAAAGGACATTATCAGACTCTCCTGACTGAATGAAGGTTTAAAAAAAACAATATATAAAAGACTATAATGAAATTGTGCATGAATAGTTATGAGTGGTCATTATACTCCAATTGTATTTTTTCCTAAAAAAAGATGCTGATCTTCTTCCAGTCTGTTGTGGCCAGTGCTCTCTTCTTAATATTCAACATGTATATTTTATACTTTCTTGTTTATTTCTTGTCTTGAATTTTTATTGTACAATGCCATGTCTTTTTATGCTGCTGTAACACAAACATTTCCAAAATATCTTATCTTATCTTAAATTGAGTTCTACTTTAGCTGTTTTATGTCAGTACATTTATTATATTCATTGTTTACTTGTTTTATCATCAGTTTTTTTATTTAACTGTAGTGCAATAATGTAGCTTAACCAAAGCTCATTCCTTAAGTGTTTACTTTCCTGTATCTGTTATTATGATCCATTCACTCGATAATCATCCGCCTCTATAGATTTATCTGTGCGCAGCTTCTCATCCCTGACTTCCAACCGGCACACCGTTCACAGCACGTTTCAAACGTTACAACTGAGAAATATCTACAGCCATGGCAGACCCAAGAATAAGGCAAATCAAGATTAAAACTGGCATCGTTAAGAGGTAAGATTTGCTTTCATATATAACATATAAGAATAACTTTCTCATTCAAGCCAACTGCATAGAATAGCCACGTTTAGCTAAATGTAAGGAGCTAACTAGCTTAGCCTAGACGATTGCAAGACGATTTGTTTGTTAGGTTCTAACTTTATCACGGTGCTTCGGCGCGGCCTATGGTCGGTACACAGTTATTTTGTGTTATTGCGGTACACTCCCCCTTACCCGTCTGGTGCATAATACAAGCCTACTGTGTAGGTTACTATACATAATGATGTGTTGGGTGTGACTTGCAGTGGTAGCTAACGTTGGTCCAATGTTGTTAGCTGTTAGCTTTCACATACTAAAAACATGTCTTGTATTTCGCTCGTCAGTGAGGTGACGCTGCAGCTTTGTTTCTCAAACTTCATTTATGCTAATGGTAGATGTCTCTCAAAACCAAGGACCTAAACGTTTGTATTATGATGTTTTATTCGCATAAATGGATATATATTGGAACAAAGCTAGCTACAATTGTTCCCACAAACAACTGCGTACATTGGCTAACATAAGATGAAACTGCTGTTTTAAACCAAGCATTTTTAGCCGTGTTTTTTTGTTTTATATCTCCATAATGCAACACTTTTCTCAACCCATTCTCAGCTTTTCGGAGATGTGGTAAATACCTGCACAGTCAGAGGACACTTCACCTTTACTGCTACGGTTAGGATGGACTTGGGACATCACATTTATATTGGGCCTACACGTTTACTGTGACTATGCACATCATAATGATTTCTAAGTTAATGATGTTTGATGGGATTTTACTTTCCACACTATTAGTCTTAAACTGGGTGGTTAACTTGTTACTCATATTCCTTGATCAAACTATCAGCTTTGTTAACATACTGTATCAACATGTATTGCAAGATTAATTACACATTTTTTAAATTGCCATAAATCAAAAGACGGCTACAACTTAACTGCCTTTAACGACAGTTTAGTTGTTTACCTTGTTTCTATTTATTGATACTTGTCCAGATGCTCTGCGATGCCATTGAGTGACATTTGGATTTAAAACATCTCCAGGAAGCATGGGAAATTATTGATTTATTTCAAGAAACACTGTTATGACCTGGCTCAAAAGGCCACAACAAAGAGGAGACACACCATATCAACGGTTAGTAAAAGATGTTTATTCAACCAAACAATTCAAATTCATTAAGTGCAACAATAAGTAAAAGCATGAGGTGTGGACGTCAGTGGTATCAGTAGTGTAAATGCAGGGTGAGGGTTGCATGGACATGTATGTGTGAGGGTGTTGAGGTGCACAAAGAAAAGCAACTAAAGTAACAACAGCGCCATATACTCAACAAAACCGGGGGCCTGTAGGGAAAAGCAGAGGGAAGAAAGAGAAGAGCAGAGAGGCTGTAAATAGCTGCAGGGCACCTGAGTTACTGCAATCAAGGCGGCTGGATGCACCACAGCCACACCCTCTCCAGGTGAACCCACAGGGGCATCACAAACACACCTTAAACTATGTACAGTCCCTTTTCTTCAGAATATGCTTACCTGGCATCTACAGTAGACTCTACTTATACATATAGCAAGCTTGAACTATTATTTGTGTAGTGAGAAATGGAAAGTGATTTGATTAATGAAACTAATCCATTGAAAAGTAATGGTTAAAAAAAAAGGTATGCACATTTAGCACAAGACCAAATTCTTTACACTTTATAGGTGACTGTGCCTTCTTCTCAATAAAAGCATGCCATGATGTGTCCCTGTTACAAGGTGTTTACTGTAAAAGGCAGAAACAGGAAATGTGGAGTTTGCAATAAAAGCATGTTCCATTTAAAAAATCTCTCATCTCTCTTGTCCTATAGGAGCACTCTGTCCGCCTGTGATGCTCAATGTATCTCCAGTCCTGGCTTTTAGCTGCATGTTCAGATTAAGACAGGCGTTGAGAACTCTTTGCAGAGACCCTGACAACTTCTCCAACTTGAAAGTTCACTGTGAAAATAATTAACCCAGTTTGTAGACTTAGTCGCTGAGATGTGAACACTATTTTCTCAATGTCAAGATACCAGTAGAGTTTGATCCTCTTGGCATAATGATCTTAACAAAATAAAGTAATGTGATCTTACATGTTTCTCTCAATATCCTGATGTAGATTCAAAAGGAAATGCAAACAAGGATGAGTATGCTGATCATTTATTTTACTCAACAATACTGCCAATGCCACTGTTATACAAGTCTGAATTTCTTTATTTGATAAACTGGTGTAATAAAAAAAAAGCAATTGTAAAAGATGGCAAAGATACTTGTAGATGGGGTTTCTCTAGGAGTTTGTTAGTGGAGGTGGTAATGCAGCAGACTAGAAAGACTGCAAATATTCACTTTTGAGATATTGAAATCAGTGTATTCATGGCACTCTTAGTTGATATAAATGACCATTATTTTATCACAATAGTTCAATGAACATTGATATATTATTCTCTATATCAAAAGATTTGCCACGAGTCAAACACTACGACCAGAATACTTGCATTGCCTAAGCCTTGTGTTCACTATTTGAACCTGTTTATCTCTCACTCTTTCTCCTTTCACTCTCTTCTTCCCTGTTTGCATCATGCTCTAGCAGATGATGGATGTAGCCTTAGGATTAGCTGTCTTAATTTTGTATCTCTGACATAATGGCCTGTTTCGGCATAAAATAATAATGAATTGTAATTTCAAATCTGTAGCATAATGCATCTGTTTTGTTTTGTACATGACATCCGGGACAAAACATAAGCTTTGCAATGTAAGACTTCTAAAACTCATCGTCCAGTTTAAGACAGCCTAAGCCTATTAATAGAGTTGGCATCCATTCTGAGCTGAGTGTGTGCAATGTGTCCAGATTCACCATGCTGGACTATGGAATAGATATAATGAGGTGTGGTGGGGTAATGCGTCGGTGTGGTAGTCTGTGTGATGGACTGGGAGTGTCTCTCGTCCATCACATCTCTAATTCCCTCCTGTCAGTGGTGATAGTGTAATGTGCTATTGATTGTGTTTTGATGAGGGTCAGATGACTAACAGGCTCACTGAGGCGCTGATGATGCTGGCTGGATTTCCCATAGTGGAAAAGTGTTGTTCATTGAAAATACTGTTTGACTCTCTAAATATGACATCTTACACCCTCTCCAAAATCTTGACATGTTCCCTTAATCAAGCAGTTTGGTTAAAACGCACAGACTCATTGCTTTCTGTGTCTTTCTCCTCTGTCTCTCCTTCCCTTCTCCTCTCCCCTTGTACCCTCCCTCCTCTCTTTTTATATATATTGGAGTTTAGAGGAAACCTGCCTGCTCTTTTAGCCAGGCCTATTTCCAGTGGCTCCTGCACATTCCAGTCAGTGCCTTTTCTGCCCTAGCGAGGCGGATACCCTTAATAAAATGACAACAGTAATTTGCCTTTGTCATTCCGGTCCCAGCACAGACTACATCGTGGCTCAAAAATACAGTGCTAGAGGAGGCGGCCGAATGTGTGTGTCGGCTGGCTCTAATTCCCTTTTTTTCTATTTTCCACAGAGCTGCCTTTTCCATTAAGCCTGAGGTGGCAGGTCTATTTAAAACCAGCCACGACCCTCATTCACACAGCGCTCCAAGTCTAGGAGAAATAAGAAATTAACATCAGGACTGGAAGGGGAGGAATGGACATTTTGTTATTAGACTGTCCTTCAGTTTTATTCAAATTATTCCAGCCTTCCTTCCTCCATCTTTCCCCTCGCGTTGCCTCCTCCTTTGAGTCTAAACCATAGGTCTAAACAGGGGACATCACTCACTCTGCATCTAGCATGAGAGGGGAAGGCAGGAGGCTGCGATTGCATATGGTGCCTGTTTAAAAGCTTCTTGATGGAACCGTATTAGAATGAGTGGTAATTGATGTAAAATATGACAGAGTGCTGTTGGCTTCCTTGGCTAAGCAAGGAGCGGTGCAACACGGAGGGAAGGGTCTCCAGTAATGTAACTGATTAATGAAGGATCACTCACTTACGCACACGCAGCTGATTTTATGAAAAATTAAATTTGTGTTGTCATTCCCGACAAGCATACGCAGCCGGAAAAAGACTATTAGCTGGGAATCATTATCAATAGTGAAATTTTCAAACTCCATTATGCCAATCAGTGCCGGAATCTGTTTAATAGATTTAGTTCCATTTGGCCCGTAATTGATAAATAATCTAAATGTATCAATGTACTCAAGCCAATTTTCACTAACAATTAAGGAAAAGAGGCCCATTTACCACCTGACTTGCTCCAAATTAGGGACTAAATTGATGATCAATTCATCTCTAAAAAGGACTAGTAGTGTGTGGGTGTCTGTGTTGTGGAGGCAATAGAAGTAGATACAAGAAGTCAGAAAGGACAAAGTGTGAGCTACAAGACATCAGAAAGTTTCCAAGAACACCAAAAGTATTTTTATTTATGTGGCTGCTGCATGTTTATTCAGTACGGGAAACAATGTTGGGATACAATATATACAAGTTGATGCTTGATATTTCTTAAGACTTGAAAATACCTCATAATTTACAGATACAATCACAATTCAGTTTGGTTTAAGGCAAGACGAGTTTATTTATACAGCACCTTTCAACACAAGGCAATTCAAAGTGCTTTTAAAGTAGTGATTATAAAGAAAAGTCAATGTTATCAGTATTGAAATTGTTTTAATGTCTACCGTGTCACTGCAGAGTCTCACTTTGAATATTGTGGAAGAGAGAAAATGGAATTAGATTATGAATGGAAATAAAATAATGGAATTGAACAGCATACAAGGGACTATGTCAATTTACATTTCTCTGACGCTCTGAATGAATGTGAAATTAGCAAAGCACAGAGTTGTCCGCGTAATAATAATAATTCAGAATTGTCCTATTGTACTTCATCATGCTCATTTTTGTTATAGGAATCAATGACATGCAGATATAAAAATATTCATTAGATTATAGATCAGATTAGACTGAACAACTGATTGGTTGATCCCCAGAAAGTGAACCATATAATTCAACATTTTCTCAATGGGACAACTGTAAAGGATCTGCAAGTCAGATTCAGGCTGGCATAAGCAGAGACAGTTAGTTAAGACGGTAACTAAATAACCCATTCATATGATCTAATGATATTTGGATATAACATGTCATCAGGCTGAATAATTGATTAGTTGCTCCCTAACAAATTAACATTTTAATTCAGTTTCAAGATTTTCTCTATGGTCAACTTTAGAGTAGGATTACTGCAAGTCTAATTCACACTGAAATAAGAAGAGTCACAGTTAAGACGTTTGAAATATCCACATTTGAGGCTACAAACATATTTTTCCTTCATTTTTATGAAAAACCTGTATAACTACCAATCAATTATCAAAATAGTCAGCGATTATTTTCCTGTGGATTTTCTGTGCAACCTATTCCAAGTTTCTTTATTTGAAAATGTAAGGTTTCATTTCAAAGCCTACTGTACGGCTGCTCTCCACCACCGTACCATGTGTATCAGAGAGCAGGAGGGATGGTGTTATTGAGGTGTGTGTCTTCCCGTCCTGCGGGAGATGATCTCACTGTCCCCTCAGTCAGAGATCCGTGGGACAGAATGAAGACAGATGGCCCCGTCTGAGACAGATGACCATCCCAACACGCCTTCTTCATGCTTCGGCCTATATTATCTGTCTGGGAGTCTGTGCATTTATGTTTCCTCTCTGATGAAACAACACTCTGTCACTGACTCTAACTGTGAGCTGTCTTCTCCTCTCTTCCTGCCCTCGGTGTCTGCAGGCTGGCGAAGGAGGAGATTTCCTACGAAAAGGAGATGAAGCAGCAGGAGGAGAAGGTGGAGCGCATGAAAACAGAGGGAGGGTGTGAATATGTCCTCAGGAAACAGGTATGTTTGGACCATATGTGTCTTCATTTAAAACATTACCATCAGCAGTCTCTCTATAGTGAGTAAGTGGAGAGGTTTTGCTCTCCCATAGTTAGAGATTTCTGATCTGAGTTGCCCCTCATTCATGTAATGAGGTCAGTCCACTGTGGTAATGAAGGATTAGGTTTTGAGAGGAGAATCATAAGTGATTTTGTAATTTGCCTGATGCATATGTAATTATATCATGTTACTTTAGAGGAGTTTTGATAATTACTGACACATGCTGGTAATTCAGTGTCCCTACCCTTCTCTCATTCATTTCCCTGTGCATTGGATAGGGTTTGAAAATGTGTATGCAGCACAAGTCGCTGTCATCCTAAACACACACTGTATCTTTTTCTAAGACTTTTTACACTTCACTCTTCTTAATTATTTTTCTAAAGTATTTAAAGCCATCATGGCATCAGGGATTGCTATGTCTCTGTTGGTTAATCTGTTTATCACTTTGGTGCAGACAGAAACATATCAACAACTGTTTGATGGACATTTAAGGATTATATTGGCGTAGATAAACTGCCCGTCCAAAAACAAAGTTAGCAACTGATTAATGTGTTTCAGCTGGCAACAGGTTATTTAACCCTAGCTGATGTGGTGCTTAGCTTCTCATTTCTTAAACGACCATGTCGGAAGACATATCCTGTGGTCTTGGAGAGGATGTTAATCACTTTCAGAAGGGTCAAATGATTTGCCTGCATCAAGGTTCAGCAACGTTATGCTCCCAAAGAATGAGGTCAGCTGATTACCTGAATGTACTGAATGAACAGGTCTTTCCATCAATGGAGTGTTTCTTCCCTGATGGCACGGACATATTCCAAGATGACAGTGCCAGGATTCAAGGCGCTCACATTGTGAATGAGGGGTTCAGGGAGCAGGAGACATCCTTCCACACATGGATTGGCCCCCACAGAGTCCAGACCTCAGCCCCATTGAGAATCTTTGGGATGTCCTGGAGAAGACTTTGCCCCGCGTTGCGACTCATCAGAAATACAAGATCTTTGCAGAAATGAACGCAACTCTGGACAGAAATACATTTTGTGACTTTGCTGCAGCTTATCGAAATGATGCCACGGCGACTGCGTGCTGTCCTCAAAGCTAAAGGCGGTCCGACTTTTCTTTTGAATAGGCAGTGTGCTTCACACTGTTTATGAAAATGCTCATCGTAGGGGGGTGTCTCTGAAGCCAAGATCTTTTGTTTTGCTTTTACACAACACTTTAGGCATATCTCCAAAAAGTACGGAGCCCCCTAGGAGACATGAAGAAGGGAAAAAAATGTATTGCGAGATTCGGCAACACAGAAACCACAACAATGGAGCGGTTCATCGATTTTACTTTGAGCTTGGCCTTAAATATAAAGATATAACATTAGTGCTTGGCAATAGGCACGGGTTTCACACAAGTGAAAGACACCTCAAGAGAACACTCAGAGCGACGGGACATGCACGTCGCAATGCATACTCTAAGCTGAGTTATTGACAGATTCGAATTTCGCGGATCAATAACTCAAGAACATAACGTTGTAAAAATACAAACAACATGACTTTACAATCATAGCAGTTAGACAACGAGCTACAGTCGTTTTTATCAGAACAGTTCGATACGCGCCGTCATCCGAGCTAAACTTCAAGGATTGGTCACAATCTGCAGCTTGAGGAGAGAGGAGTGCTTAGGGACCGTCAACAAACTGCAACGGGGTTTTGTGAGATCTCGCCAAAGGGGTTTTGTTTTTGGTCAACATCATCCTGTTTTTGTATTTGCTCGCTCATTTTCAGGTTTTGGCCGACAACTTCAGTGGCTTCTTTTGTAAAATACCCATGAACATTCTCATGGGTGAGTTTTCAGCAAAAAAGTTGCCGGAATGACTTGTTTGAGGATATCCTGACCTGACATTGCACCCTCCGCAATGTGACTTTTACATGCACACATCGCAATCACTAGGCAGAAATGTTATATCTTGCAGCCCTACTTGTCAATAAATAACCCATAAAACACTGAATCAATGCAATACCAACATATGCGGACACGGTTCACAATCAAAGCTCCACAGTGTCCTCGTCACTTCATGTTCCAGGCAGGAGGAACTGCAGAGCAGGCAGCGCTCCTGATCATGTTTACTGGTAACATTAAAATTCTGTGTGTGTTTTTGTTTTGTTTGTTCATTCATAGCGCGGTGGCTGGGGCTGAGCAGCGGGCTTGGCCGGTGTTAAACGGGGAGATTGGGAGGCCAGATGGATTATGGTTGGAGATGAGAGGTCTGAGGCAGGATGGATTAGAGGTTTTGATTTTAATAGAATCAATACGCTGTAAGTGTCATCTTCATCCAGCGCTGATGGGATCATTCCACTGCAGCGGGAGGGCACCGTGACTTTTCTCTGTTTCTGCATTCCTCTGCTTTGTCTGGCTCACCTTGTCACATGTAGACGACAAACAGCTCGACTAGTTGTCTGCCGTCTCTCAGCATAGTCTGTGTATGAGTTCATCTGCCTGCCTGTTAGTGTGCAAAGCCGTGTAATGTACATGTGTGTAGTTGCCTCCATGTTTTGACTCTGCAGCTCGACAGTGGGCTAGGTGAGGAAGCATCTGTCATGAGTGAGTGTGTCTGACAGCGTTGGCCAACTCTTCACTGCTCTTTAGGGTGCCAGCCGGGGGAATTCCACATTATCAGCGGCTGTGAAAGTTCCCCAGCCTGTAACACAGTTTCCCTCCAGGCGTAGTAATACCTCTTTACGCCTGATCACAGCTCCTAGGCCCAGGGTTTCTTCATTTATCCAGGTGTGCAGTCAGATCGAGGTGCTCTCCCCCGCTGCCCAACTCCCTGCCCGATCGATAACTCAATAACATATTTCATACCGCCGCCTTGTTTGGAGATGTTCACCGCGGCAGAGTGGGCCCTGCAGGGGACGGTCGGGAACAAGGGAGTGAATATGCCGGTTTCTGGCTGTTTGAATAAATGTCCTTTACTTGGAAAATACTTGTTCCATGATGTGAGGAATGATAACCGGAGCAGTGGAGGGGGTAACCCATGAATAAAGATGGTGATGAGTGTCTCTGCGTTTCAGGTGGAGGTGTTGCAGGAGGCCAGGATGATGGTCCCAGACTGCCGCCGGCGCCTGACCGTAGCACACGCAGATCTGCAGCAGTTAATAGTAAGTGTTAAAAAACGTTTTCCATTTCACAACAGGACAAAACAATAATGATGAAACTCTCAATCTATTTATTCTGTTGCTGTTACTGGAACTAATTTGTAACCTTGTTGAAACTACATGGTGAAATTGTATTTGTGAGGTACTATTTATTATTAAGCCTCAGCTTGTGTTTCACACTAAATGAAATCCTCCCTCAAGCAGTGTACCTTATAATCATTTTTTGTTCCGATTCTATATCTGAGAGTAACTTCACATAGCTGATCTAAAGTAGGAGAAATGTGTTATTAAACGTGACAAAATAATGAACGGCAGGAAAGTAAGCACAAATAAACGAATATGTTGGTCAGTAGGTGGTATAATAACTAAGAACAAGCTGACAGACGCTATTAGATTGAACATTTGTGATTGCTAACATGGCAATCAATTTCATTATTAGACACCAATGCAAAGAAAGAGTAATGTTAAAGTTTCTGATGTCGTCGTTAACCTTTTCTGACTGCTGTTTGGTGTTGGATACGCAATGTCATTTGTCATAGCCTGTGAAAGTCAAACTGAGTTAAAGTAGCTCAAAATAAGTCTGACTATATTGTTCTAATCTTCACAGCTGGCTTACAAATGCCTGCAGTACTAAATATGAAACCACAGAAAAAGTTGTTCAATGCCCCCAATTGGTTCAAAAGCAGTTCAATTGGTGGAAAAACTATAAACTAATTACTGCAAGAGGTTTGAATTCCAATGCTTCAACACTTTTCAAAGCAATTTGTTCAAATAAGTAATTACCCCAATCACAAAGATATTTGGTATCATTTACACACTGCTCTAAACCTAGATATTTCCTGTTGTGTTTGCATAGAAATCGTACCAACAAGATGCCAGAATAAACAGCATGCTATTACTGACAATTACTTATGCATATGGTCTTTGCACATAAATGCTACATTTGAGTTCATAAAGCCACAGTTCATTTGATTTATTGCTATTATATCATCCTTTTATCAGTGCCATTAATCGTCTTGAAATTACATTTCCGCAATTTCTTCTTGGACAATATATCATGCAACAAAAGTAGCTACTGGTGTGGTAACGTACATCTCAACAGGAGATATTTGAAAGTTCAATCAAATAGAAACTACTTCTGTAAAAATGCTTTATTTAAAGTAATCTTTAGAATATAGTCAATTATCCCATGTTACACCAATTAAATGCTACTTTGGTTTACCCTTTCAACCACACTGTCTACTCCCTGCAGGGTTTAGTTGATTTGGTGAGAAGCAAACATAAGCATGCATGTGTCGGGGTCATCTCAATTAATGCAGAGCAACAGGCAGCTGCTGACAGAGCTCCTCACACGAGAGAGGGAGCTAACCCAGAATTAGCAACATGTCCTCTTCACCTACCTTTAAGACACACGTGCACATATGCACACGCTCATCACAGTTCATTAGCAGCACTGTCACTTGGCTGACCAACACAGGAACTCACACACACTCGTTTAAAGGACAGGGACACTATACCTCCCTCTGTCTAACCCTTAGTTGCTACATATAGATCCTGGTTTGATGAAAAGAAGGGAATGTGACATCTTGCAAGTTTCATGACGGCCACAACGTGACATCTAGACACTTTGTTTCAAATGTGTTTTCATAAAGACAGACAAAGGTTTGAGAGTAGCTGTAATTCCTCCCTTTTTGGGTTTAGGAGATGGCTGTATTGTTCTAAAAGGACATTAAAACCAAAGTGTGTGTGTTTGTGTCTTTCCAGGAAGCAGAGGAGGATTTGTGCGAATCAGAGGAGTACAAAGAGGCCCGAAACATGTTGGACTCAGTGGAGCTTGAAGGATGATTTCTGATGTGTTTCTGTGCTCACTGCGAGATTCACTTGCTTTAAATGTTCATTCCTTTCGTCAGGCCCTGTTTGGAAAGCGTGGAGGAGAGCTGAATCCATTCAGGGTCTCTGTTCTTGATGTAATTATTTCTACTGTTAACGTGCCACCACATTTGATCCCACGTGAACACGATATAACATTTCTAACGCCACACAAGTAGAGGGTTTTCCTTAACGTCATGATTCACTATCTGGACACATCGTTGAATACTCACATATGTTTGTTATTTCACTGGATTGATTTGAAGCAGTTTACGACGGTGACTACTGTAAAAAGCAGTAGTCAATTTGCTGATCACGTTTTATGAAGTTAACCTGAATACTTTACAGATATATTTTGCATTCCTTTTATATGTATGTGAGTTGTTTAAACCCGCAGAACCTGCATAAGATCTAACCTCTGATGATGATGCATCCCTGAATACTAATCAAAGCTGCAAGTAGCTATTATCTTTCATTCTGCTAATTAATCCTTTGGCTTGAAAATGGTCAGGAAAAAGTGAAAAATACCTCTTTGCAAAACACAGAGGATTTACAGTGATAAACTGACCAGCTGGAAATTATCATATCTGAGAAACAAATCAGTGAATGTTTGGCCTTTTTTTATTGATTGTGAAAATTGTTGGGAATGTAATTTTCTTTCAACCTACTAATCGATTAATAAACTGATGGATTGAGAATTGATCGATGAAATTGCACAGTGTATTATCCTGTTAAGAGCGGTGAATTGATTGTGTCTTGATGCCTATACAATAAAGAGAAGCACTTCCGTGAAAAGACAAATGTTGGTTCCTGCTCTGAATGACAAAGCGGCCTGTCTGCAGTTACATCTGTTATCCATGGCCTTAAAATAACGACACCTTGTATTAGGGCTGAGAGAGTCCTTCCTAAATAGTCATACTAATAAATGAACTCAATTGGCAGACAAATTAAGGTTACATTTGACTTGATCCTTATTTTACAGATTTCGATAATTATCGGGATCACCCCAAAGTCTCATTACCGCCCTAATGAGGCGCTGCTACCGCGTGACATCTACCCCGCTCCATCTCGTTAAGGAAATCGCTCTTCAATGCTGATTATTTTATTTGGAGGTATAATTATATTTCTTTCGGATAAATCACGGCCCTAATCGAGTCCGTGCAGAGGGCAGCGGCGCTAATTGAGGCATGAGATGCGGCGGCGGGGCGCTGCATCTGGGTGTGTGTGACCGGAGCACCGCGGGCTGCTGGGAGAGAAACATTCACATCTCACACTGAAATAAATAAATACGGTGTTACAAATCCTGCATTTTGTTAAGTAGCCTATAACGTATGAAAATATTGTCTGCAAAATGCACATTAACTATCAAAATAAAAGCCCTGATTAGACAGTATAGAATAACCTCTTTTCAGGGAGTTATTATATCATTTACTGTAGTAAGCACTTGAACATTTCAATATATCTCTTGGGGAGATGGGCAAAATCTAAATTGTTACATCTGAAACTTTTTTTTAAATAAAACTGATAAGGATTTATGAAAAGCACTATATTTGTCTTAGATGTAGTGGACTAGAACAATAACAGCAAAAAATGTGGTCTTAGTATTTAAAAACTCAACTAAAATGCAGAATACTAATTACATGAAACTGCTTTACTCATTTGGAGCATTATATATACTTATTTCTCAAACATGTCTGCTTTGTTTTAAGACTGCATTATATGTGAATCATCATGTAAACCGACATGCGTTCTAAAATTAGCATAAATTAAATAATTGGCCTTTATATAACCCAAGTGTTAGCTGCCTCTTTTATAAATCAACTACAGTATTCTAATACCACCATGCAGGGATGTAACTGTTAAATTAAATATATATTTAAAATGTAACTCAGGCTAAGTGAAAGTACGTTTGCATCAAATGTCTTACTTAATGTGTACTCAAATAAACAATGGCCCATTTCAGATTAATCTATATTGTTCGATTATAATGATTGAATGTGTTCAGGCCTAATGTAAAGTAAAAAAAAAATCTGTTTCTTCTATGTCTAATAAAACTATGAAAGAAATGAAATACTTAAGTAGCCCTCAAAGTAGTACTGTCAATCACGACTTTTAGTACAGTTTTGAGGTATTGGGATTACTTCATTTTTATGTCACTTTACACTTTTACTCTACAACAATTAAAAGCTAAATATTGGGCTACTTTGCAGAAAAATATTAAAATAATGTATAATAACCATGTAAAATGGCCTTATGCATTTACGTTCAGTAAATTAAACTAAACGGTATATTGGTGCTTATAGGCTATAACAATCTAGTTTCTGGATACGTTATAAAGGCTATAGCTGGAGTAAGGTGACTTTTCAAACTGTATCCTAATTATCTTACATTTACTTTATGTTAAGTACATTTTGTAAATGTTGAGCCTCATAACACTATAGTAAAGCATTTTATATATTATTGTTTAAGTTTATTGATATTGATATATTGATAACATAGGCTTTAACTGCGTGGGATATTGTCAAGAAACCTACATTATGTGGAGGTGAAAGCGGTAGGATGTTAGTCTCCCTGAAGTTTGCAGGTGAAAGTTTGTCGGCTGCTGCAGAACAGCTTCAGCTGCAGCATCAAAGTCAGCTGCTCTCCTCCTCTTCAACACAGAACCGTATTACTCCTAATCCCCAGACTGTCACCAAATCAGCTGCATGAAACAAGAATCTCATTTGTTAAACTGGCTGGGGCTTGTGCAGATGGAAGATCGATTGTTTTTCTCCTCAGAAATCTCTAATTGAGTGAATACAGACTGCAAAGGCAGATCAAAGAGAGGAAAGGAGAAACGAATCACACGGGCCTTGTGGTTTGGAGAGACTGTACTGTAACCAAGAGGTCACAGGTTCGAGCCCCGCCTGCACCAACCCCACTGTGAGTCCATCAGAAACACAACTCTCATGGATCTGAAGGTAAACCTCAGAGGGTTAACACACACAGCAAGGATCACACTTTATGTTGGTTTTTGCTGTTTTCATTAAAAGTCACTCCTCATCTCCACAACGCGTGAAAATGTCTACTTTCCGCTCAGATGCACCGCATTAACCTGCAGGGGTGAATTTGTTTGTCTATTTTTATTTATGCCATGGATAAGATTGATGTGAGCATGTTAGTGGAGAGATGTAGCTAACTGTGTGCTCCTTGTTTACCCTAATTACAGCCTTATCAACTCAGCAAAACCAAGACCACACACACACACACACACACACACACACACACACACACACACACACACACACACACACACACGCACGCACGCACGCACGCACGCACGCACGCACGCACACAAACAAACACACACGCACTATTGACACTATTAAGTAAAAAGATGCCTTTGAATGAGCTGAACTAAATACATTGCATCATAGGAATGACATTAAGTGAGAGTACTTTATGAAACAGAAAATTGGGTCACATTAAAAACAAATATATTTTTTTATACAAAAAAAAAGGTCTCAAATGCATTGGATAAATTGTTGTTTTATTATACACGTTTCCTAAACAAAGCATGAAATATTGAAATATTCACTCTTATCAAACTAAATAGTTACAGGCAACAATCACAAGCGTATTTGTTTAAAAAAAAAAATCAGTTATTCACCCTTGAAAAAGATCTTTAAGGCTTTTGCATATTAAACGAAATGTAAAAAATATCATAACATTTATTTTAATTTTGCCCCTTTGTATCATATCTTCCTGACATCCTGATTCCCCCACTCCCCCTCTCTATCTCTCTCGTTGTTTAAGGTTAAATATGACCTGCTGCAACGACAGGAGTCATTCACTTGTGTTTGTACAGCTATAAAAGCACTGAGCTATTGAAAAGTCGTAAAATGAAGCACGCAATCCATCATCCCTCAATGTGAGCATTTTTTAAATCCTCCTTATAGCTTTCAGCGCGCCAATGAGAGCTGTAAAAGAGGAAAATACCTTGAGAAAAACACCATTCATGTTGTACAGAATTATAAAACAAATAGCGATGATTTTGCGTTAAATAGACAAATGCGTGATATATATTGGTTGAATCCTGAAGAATATAAAAGCCTTTTTTAAATGTAAACCCAGATTTAAACCGATTAAATTCTACCTTAAAGTCCAGCTTCTAAAATAATAAGGAGAAGACGATAAATATCTCCAATTGCGCATTTTTATTCTCTTCATCCACGGAAGAAGACTCAGCCAGAAGCGCAGAGACGAAACCTGCTACACATTTGCGCATTGCATTCTCTTCCTCCTTGGATAAATTACGCAGACAGAAGCGCAGAGAGGTAACCTGCTCCACATCCCGATGCGTCCGGAACAGACTCCCGCACAGGTCTCCTCTCCATCCCTCCCCATGTCGCCACCAGATTGGAGAGAAATAAAAGATGCGCAGAGGCGAGTGAAGCCTGGATGGATGAAGAAAAGAAGCCCTCGGGTTCACGCTCGGACGCCTCCTTTGTGCCACTTTTTCAGCACACAATAAATAAACCTGCTCCCTCACAAAACGTCCCGGCATCTGTCTCAAGCATGTCTGATTTTTTTGTCCCTAAATATCTGGCAGACTGGTGTGTGTGACAAAAGAGCTGCTGAGCTAATTGAGTCAAATGGTGGTTTATTCAGGAGATCCTTTTTTAAAGAACTGTTAATGTCTCATGGAGAGTAAATAACCCCTAATTTAGACAGATTATGAGAGATTAGGAATAAAGGCCTCCTCCACACATGATTATGTGTTTGCACATCTATCTATTCAGGTGTCAGCTTCTTCACAACCTTTCTGCTGTATCAACTGTGTCCCTTTTATCAAAGGCTCATTCACAGCTCATGTTGAACTCCCTCCACTTTCCGCCGAATTAATTCGCTCACACATCATTTATACCAAGTCCCTCCCTGCTTGACAGTCGGGCCTAAATACTAGTAAATTACCGCTAATTTACTGATCTGATATTTGCGATAGATTCGGCGCTAATTGCATAAAAGCCTAATGGCCTTGAAAATGAGTCCTGGTTAGAATTATATAAAGTTTGTTGTTTGGCTGACTGGGAAATCAAGGAGATTAGAATAGGTTCACTTGATCTCCAAGAGGCATTTAGTGTCGTAAAAATACCATCAAAAGAGGGAGATTAAAATAAATGCAGCTCCATTTTATATACTCCATATTCAAGGTGTAACACATTATCCATACTGTGGGATCTGTTAATGCAGCCATGTGCTTCCTCCTCATATTATAACTCATATTCTTGCACTATAAAAACACAGTAGCATGCACAATTAAACAAATATTGTGGTGATCCAACATTTCTTGAACGGGTCGAAGCACTCACAGATATTAAATCAGGTTATTTTATTGGATGTAATTTGGAGGAGAAATCAAAGCCAATTACAGGAATGAGGAGGAATGAACTTGTGGATGTGAGAGGATGGGGGAGAAAGGGGGAGGAGGGTGAGGGGGTGATGGGGGTCTCTGGCTAAAGCTGACATACCTCAGGCTTCAGCTCTGATTGGTCCTCGTTTGGAGAAGCTCATGGGTTCATTCCGTCGTTAAGCGCCTCCCCATTTCTCTAAACTACATTATAATGCAACGAACCTCCCTTTTAACCACAAACCGAATTTGCTTTCATTTAGGCTATATATATTTCTTAAATAGGTTAAAGTCATAGAGATTTTTTTGGAATAGCACTTCGCCCTGGAGCGGTGCGCAATGCTATCTCATGCCGACCTCCTGGATGCTCGCCTCGGTGAGTTATCATCACCAAACTCCGGTCTTCAACTCTACTGTAAGCTGGAGGCACTTTTAATCTTAAATCAAACTCTGAAAATTGTCAATTTGCTTCTTATATTATCTTAATGTGACTGGAGTGATCTAAACTCGCTTAATTCATTGGAAAAGTAATTATTATTATTACATTACTGCGTAATTTGATTTAACAATTTCCTAAGGTATCGGTTTGATCGAATTGAATTAAGAGTATTTAAGGAGCAGATTGTAATGTGCATGCTGTATTGTGTGTGTCTGTCAAAGAGCTGCACTCGTTGCTCTTTTAATTTCTGTTTTTAAATGTCAGCTAATGTTAATGCATGTGCAAGATTTTATACTGCAGCAAACATTCTTATTTATCTTTTGCCTTGTGTGCTGTATTTACCTAACATGTCCTTTTTTCTCCTAGCCCAAATGTTTACTGTACCAATCTCACCAGCTGTGGTTGTCTATGCAGGGATGAAGGATGCCGCCGCGGAGCTGCTGGGCCACAGGGAGGCTCTGAAGTGCAGGCTCGGCGGAGGAGGGGGACCTGACCCGGGACACTCGGGGGAGCTCGGCCCTGGCCCGGAAGGCGTGGAAGGGTCCACAATGCTCCCCGGTGATGATATCAGCAGCGGCGGGGGATCCAACACGGTGCAGGTCAACAGCAAAGAGCAAGACAAACAGCAGCAGAACAACAACAACTCCAGCCAGTCCGGAGGCGGACAGAGCCAGAGTCAGAGCCAAAGCCAGAGCCAGAAACAGAAGCGGCACCGGACCCGCTTCACCCCGGCGCAGCTCAACGAGCTGGAGAGGAGCTTCGCCAAAACGCACTACCCGGACATCTTCATGCGGGAGGAGCTGGCTCTGAGGATCGGCCTGACGGAGTCCAGAGTGCAGGTAGGAAGCCTTGGAGTGGAGAGGGGAGATGAACCAAAGCTAGACACAAGTCATGCGGAGACCAAACGACAGAGACTGGTGCCGTTTGACATTTAGAAATAAAGCAAAAGCAGCATGCAAATAATACATCTGCAACTCAAAAATGAACACACGATACAGTAATACATATCCAAATCAAAACAACAGCAGCCTTCCAATTGCTAATTTTGTGTCTTAAGAAATTCTAAATAGGATTTCTCAAACATATTTGTCTTTTCACTTGGTGAGCATTTGTAGATTTTTTCAAATTAGATTGCGTATTTGAAATGCAGCATCGACGGTTGCTCCTAAATAATCAAAGTAACATTTCTTATACAAAGTTGCTATTTATTTTTTCATGGCTCTATTAATTGTTTTGATGATGGCTTTATATATGCTGCGTTATTAAGGATACGCTAAGGACAAACCCAAACTAAGAGGTTATTGTCAGCAGTTTCCAATTAAATAATAATTTAACGCATGATTAACAAATATATACATTATTTAAAAGAAGTTCTGACAATGTATTCCAACTGAGCAAAATTATATTTTGTCTATTCATTAACTGAATACATGTTATTTATAATACAAACTAAGTGAGCAGTCACTAAAGAGGAAGTACAGTGTGTAGCAAGTGCAGAGACTTTTTGGTGATTTAAAATCCAAACACTACACGTGTTTGTTCCACACGCACCTTGCACACTCCAAATGACAGCAGGTATCTCACATGCAACCATGAGATCCGCTCGTTACACGTTAGTTCCGTAACAACAAATCATCCTCTCTCACATCAGATCTGAGACTCAAAATGCAAACTAATACTAGACAAACGTCCTATTGCAGCATTTGTTTTCCAGACATGTTATGACCTCTAAATTATCCTTAATTCAGAATTATCCCACATGTGTTGTAACCTACAGATAACCAAATGATGATTGCATCTTTATTACACTCCTTTAATCACCATCAGATAAAACTGACATTAACCTTTTAACAAACCTGCTGAGAGCTTCACTAAACCCTGTGTTTTTTATACGTTGAATGTCTCAATAATGTCAGCCATCTTTAGTCTGCACAAATACTTCATAAAATATCCAGCACATTAGGAATTATAGCGCCACCGCCTTATTAACTACCAATGGCAAATGCACTTGAGGCGCTCACATGTGAAATAATGCCCTATAATAATCATTATTATTATTGAAAGGGTCGATTCAGTTTCTATAGCCTATTTCCATAAAATAAGAATTAGTGAAATGAGCTATGATGATAGTGCTGGTCTGCTGGAATAAAGGAGCAGATCCTGTCACTGCTCTCTGCGTCTTAATGCCGCTGAGGGTGCACTCTGTCTTCTTTTTTTTTAAATGGAATGAGAAATTGCGTTTTCTTACCTTTGAAGTGTAATGCATTTCAGGCCGGATTTCACGGCTGGCTACACGGGGGGAAGAGAGTGAGATTGTCCCGTTCTTATTACTGCGCCTCCACTTTCTCAAGCAAATCTTCACATTAATCATAGAGGCCTGCGCGTACAACCAAACCATAGGAGCTCAAGGACTCCTGGAGAAGTTTGTTTGTCACAGCAATAACATTATCTTTATTATCCGAGTGTGTGCTTTGCAATGGCTCCTCCCGAAGACGTAAACATTATTAAAATGTTGTAGGCAATTTGGCGTCGAAATAAAATCATAATATCTTCATCCCCAAAAAGTCGAGATAATTACGCATACAAATATTAATGGGAATATCATTAAGGCAGGATGAGAAAAATAGTTCCCTAATTTCTAAAATGTTGCCAATACTTTGCACCAAAATGAAACAATGAAAATAATATCTTTATATACTAAATTTGTAAATGAAAATAGACATTGGAATGAGATGACATGAAAAGAAGGAAAATAATAGTTCTATAATATATAAAGTGTCAATATTTGTCATTCAATATAAAAGTCTGTTATAACCAAGATGTAACCATGTTTGACAGTTTATTAGACGTGTTACGGATCAAGATTAAACAATAATAAAATACATATATTTTTTATTATTATTTGGAGACTTTTACGCACAAATCAGAACAAATCTATTGCGCATTTTTAAAAGCTGATAAGATCCTGTAAAGAAAGACAACATTCATCGGTGTTTTTCTGCTCCAGATTTATTGTTGGTGCTTCGCATTATCATCATGATAACACACTGATGTCACAACCTTTTTATGTGCACTCGCAGTTCTGATAACATGACCTGTCGGGTCCCCTGAAGCCATTACACCTCTTCTCCTCCTAACTCATCTCCTGTCTGTCCGCAGGTCTGGTTTCAGAATCGACGTGCCAAGTGGAAGAAGCGCAAGAAGACCACCAACGTGTTCCGTTCTCCGGGGACTCTGCTGCCGACGCACCACGGCCTGTCCCAGTTCAACGCAGCAGCAGTGGCGATGGGCGACAGTCTCTGCTCCTTCCACGCCAACGACGGCCGCTGGGCCACCGCGGGGATGCCCGTGTCTCAGCTGCAGCTCCCCCCGTCTCTGGGCCGCCAGCAGGCCATGGCGCAGTCCCTGTCTCAGTGTAGCCTCGGTGCAGGGCCGCCACCCAACTCCATGGGTCTGTCCCAAATGTCAAATAGCAACCTTCAATCACACCTCTACCAGCCATCTTTCCCCGGGATGGTACCCGCGTCCATGTCGGGCCCGTCCAACATGAGCCACTCGCCTCAGCTGTGCACGTCCCCGGACAGTGAGGTCTGGAGAGGGACAAGCATCGCGTCGCTGCGCCGCAAAGCACTGGAGCACACAGTATCCATGAGCTTCACTTAGAAGAGACGAGAGCTTTTTCTTTTACTCACAGAGATCTTCTGCATTTAGTTCTTATTTATACAATCCACGATGCTCCGGGAGAAATACAACCAGGATTCTTGTTCAAATACAAAATCGCTGAACACATCTGGCTTTTCTTCCCTCCAAAATCCAAATAACAGGAAGCTATTTATCCGGCCTATTGATCTTTATCAAGCATATGACTGGTTCTATTTATTATTTCGCATGTAGCCTATGACAACTATTTATTTGTCTATTTAAATTAACTTATTTGCTCTGTATTTATTTATTTGGCACATGCAGGCCTTCAGGGGCTTTTATTGACATTTGCTTTGTGACTGACTTTTGAAGACACCTTCTGTGGATACTTTTAAATACAGAACCAATATACAGATCCCTTTTTCCCACCTGCTGCACAGCATGCACATCTGAGGGGCCAAAGGGAGGCACAGTGGACTGCAGGAACAAGTCACCATGGAGGTTTTTACATGAGAGATTCACCTGAAGAAGGAAGAGCGATTTGACAGGAATCAGGACATCATGGAAGAGGACTTGACTGCATGTCCAAGGCAAAAAAAAAAAGGGACAAATCTATAAATTAAGACATGGAAACTGACTTAACTATAATCTGTTATATAGGATGTTTTGTGTAGCGGAAGCACTCTTGTTCCCATTTGGTCAGTTTGTGATAACTTATGTTTCCAAAATTATGTCTGTGCTTATTATCAAATTCTGACTTTCTTAAATGTTTAAAACCATTTTGTTTCATGGACATGTTTATATCAATTAAGTGTAAATGATCAAATAAAAATCATTTTCAATTACGTCATTACATGTATCAACCCTCCTTTTTTTAATACAGAATCAGAGGATACTGCCAAAAAACATATATCTCCAAAAACCTCGGATTGTAATAACCTTTGTGACAATGCACATAAGTATTTGAATCATTTATGTATCTCTAGAAGTACAATAATTTGTTGGAACCTCTACCAATAAAGGCGCACTAATGTGTCATTTAAATCTGTTGATCTATGACATCATGTCAGATCAGTGATCTCCTCTGCAATCAACAAATGAAGACATAACAAATATTTCCACAGCAAATTTGGAATAAACCCATAAAAGTAAAAAACAGCATTAAACCAAAAAAGTTAAATGTGTGCTGAAAAAGTAATTTGTTCTGCAGGACTTTGGTCAGTAATGCAAAATTCTGGGAAGTTGTGGATAGTGTGTTAGTAGTTAGCATGTTTTATGCTTAATTCTTATACATTTCAAAATGAAATACTGCATTATTTAATTCCACTACATTTATCTGTTTACTGCTTTTCAGATTTAACATTTTAAATACAAACATACTACAGTTTATAAAAAAATGTATAGGCCAAAAATACATTGTCAAAAGTATAGCTCCAACACAACTAGCTACAACTGTATAGCTGCTTAACGATATATCAACAATGTAATTTACAGTACATATCTATTTAAAAAGTACCTTTTGTCTTTGATAATTTTGATGATAATATTTCTATACTTTAAATTACATGATGTAGTCCTCCTCCTTTTCAGGATGCTTAATGGCCCTGATTGAACAGAAACATCATAGTTTCCATGTGTGGGCTCCTGAATACAGTTTTGCTGTATGGAATCTCACCAATGACACCAAGATCAGATGATCTTATCCACACAGAACTAAGAAACTGACAAACTGATCGTCAAGTCATGAGTTTCTTTTTAAAGCCTCTTCCAGTAATAGCCCAGGGTCTTTGTATGTCCTCGAGGAGCAACTCCACACAAAACGCTCAATTCCCTCTTAATTATTTAGGCAAGATCAGAGGTGTCAAACTCAATCTTAGTAAGGACCAACCTGACAAATTAGCTAAGGACCCAAATGTGTTATTTTTCATTTTATTATCGTTTAGCTTGAAAAAAACGAAAAAAAAACTCCCAAACCTGTGTAATATAAAGCCAGAAACAACTTGTTAATATTAAACCATCCTTTAAAATGACACAATCTTCATGTGTTATTGAGTACATGCATACAGTATGTGTTCTTTCATGATGTCTGGATTACAATCAGAAGATGAATCAAGGGACGGGGAAGCACACAGAGAGAGATTTTTGCAGTCTAGCGACAGATGTGGAATAATATTACATAAATGTAATAATTTGTTTCACTATCACCCAGGTTAATTAGTTTGTGGAAACGGGTAACCTATTTCTCATTGGGTAATTTGTCACACACTGACGGGGTAGCCAATCAGTGACCCTGCTGTTGGTGGGATCATTTCTCCCAGAATGCTGTGCAGCGAGTGTGTCGTGGAAAATGTGAGAGCAAGCCAATGTTTACCTCCTATTTATTCCACACAAATAAATGAAATCAGTCAATAAACCATCCAAGTGTGAATATGGCTCTCTCTATCCCGGATTATGAATGAGAGCTCATTAATTTTCCCGTGTGTGCGTGCGTGTGTGTGCGTTCGTGTTTGTGTGTGTGTGTGTGTGTGTGTGTGTGTGTGTGTGTGTGTGTGTGTGTGTGTGTGTGTGTGTGTGTGTGTGTGTGTGTGTGTGTGTGTGTGTGTGTGTGTGTGTGTGTGCGTGCGTGCGTGTGTGTGCGTGTGTGTGTTCATATGTTTATTGTGTTTATGTCCACATGTTTATAATTGGCTTAAAAGAGGAATTCTGAATGCAATCATTTAAATGTCTACAAGCATTAGACAATTACAGCATTCAAAGAAGGTCCACCTTTTTAGCATAATATTTTGACATTTTGTAAAACATGCTTATTTGCTTGTTCTTGGCAGACAAAATATAGAAAGCACAAATAGATATAACATTACATTTCAAACATTTTGCTTTTTTTTTGACAGAGCCAGGCTGTATCCACAATTGCCTTTAAAAGTCGTTATGCTAAACTATGCTCACCGGTTTAGCGAATAAACATGAAGGAAGTTCTTATCTAGCTTTCGGTAAGTAAGCAAATAAGCATCCTGAAAATGTTGAACTTTTTCTTTGAAGAAAAGGATGCTTTTGATAGGAAACAAAAATCGTTATCCCTTATCTTGTGCAACAATTTTTTTTTGAAAGTTTAGCTGTGAGGCTTCAGCAGTCAGAATCAGCCAAAGCAGTGAGTATGTTCTCAAGTGACAACTTTTTTGTGCACAAAATGATCTTTTTGTGTGAACATAGGCTACTGTACTTGGCCATTTTAGGCCATTTTCAAAAATATTGAATTATCTTATTTAACAAAAGCTAGATGACATGATGTCTGTACGTTAATTATAAAGCTAGAGCTCGCCGGCAGTTAGCTTAGGATAAAATAATCTCATAAGGGTCTGTTTTCGGACAAATAAAGCAACCATAAACTGTTTAAATGTACACCTGTGTTTGTTGTTCCAAGGGAGCCTTTTAACAAAATGTGACTATCCAAAGAAACAGTTGCAATGCTAACATGATCTGAACCTGTTGTTTTTCTGACCTTAACTCAACCAATAATGTCAGAAATATGATCTATGAGAGCGGTTTGGGCCAAACATCATTAACTGTCTAAAAAATGCAATGTCTGTTTTTTTTAGGGGTAGAGGTATGTTGGCGGCATCACATAGGCCTACACGTTATGAATCCAAATTCATGAGAAGTTTAATTTTATTTGACAGACAGAGTCTAGGAGTGTCTTGGTGAGTGTTATGCCAGATGGCGGCGAGAAAATCCCATTTGAAGGTTTTATTAATTTTCGTTAAACTGGAGAGGTTCGCCGATGCTGTCTTTGCGCTCTCACTGACGAGGCTGACTGACATCTCGCTGCTCCCTCCATTTGTCATTGTTTGAAAAGGTCTTAATTGTATTACATGCAAATGAAGAGATTTGATTTTTGCCCATTATCTATTCATAAGAGAAAATGAACAGAACATTAGTGGGTCACCAAATGAGGGAGGGAGGGTGAGGGAAGGAGGGGAGAGAGGGAGACATGATGAGAGAGGAAGATGAGAGTGAAATAGAAATGGCAGCTTTACATTACTGAGCTCTATATCTTTTAACTTTTGAATTTGTAAAAAAACGAATCTGTCCATCCTCATGTGTAAAGCATGTGTCTGTATGAGTGTGTGTAATAGGTCAAGGCTGATAATTAACCTTTGATGACTGAAACACAGCAATTACAGTCTGACTCATGTGACAAATCAAAGTGACAAGCTTGAACGCACTCAGCCGTCCTCCCTGGTCATCTTAAGACCATCACCCTCTGAATTATGAGCCATATATATTTTAATCAGGTCTTATGGCACATGTGTCACCAAACAGGTTAAGTTAAAACAAAACACGTTTTCATTTAAACTACTTTCTCCTAAAGTCGTTTTGAAAAGTGGGAAAACTGTTTCATAAGATAGATGTGGAGTTTTGAAATGTCATTTTTTGTTGCAAAAGAAAGAAAAATCTATCCAAATCCATTGTGGAGGCAGGTGTTTCACAACCTGGAAATAAATATGTAAACGTTTATATGCGTGGCTAAATATCAATGAATGTGGGAATAATTTTGGATATGTGACTGCTCCTTTAAGGATAGGTAAATACTCTTTCAAGTAGGTAGGCCGAGAACAAAGTGTTTGTTTCCCTGAGGGAATTTTGTACAAAAAAAGCTGAAACTGTGGCAAAGCTTTTCTGCAGATTTCATCTATGAATATGTGTCTTAATATGGAAAAGAGGAACGATTGCAGCAACCAATAACTGTCTGGGCATGTGAGTATTACATTATGATATATCTAAACTTGTGTGTTAAATACAAAACCTGATGGGGAATTCATATTTCTAAAGAAACAGGAATTATAGACGAATGTTGTTTATTGGACTTTAAAGGTGCCCCTCTGCCTGTTGAGGTCTGGCAGAGTCCACGCAGGCTAAAGCAGAACACAGTGAAACCCTGATGAAGAGGGACAGTGAAGTGTGTTGGTCAAGAATGAGACTCTCTCTTCTACACGACCCTCTGAACAGCGAGGGAGGGAGCCCGATATTGAATAGTGTTGTTGGCCCATTGTTAAATTACAGCTTAATTCCTTTTCCATCATCATAACCATTTGTTTTCCTTACAGGGTGGAGATAGCGGGATGAGGTCCGGCACTGTAAGCAGGGGGAGAGGGCCAACCTTTTGCTTTGCTTTGACTCTGGTCTTTAGTTTTGGTGGCCATCGCATCATGACTCCCCCTCTCAGCTGATTCCTGCCATTGGTCATATTTGACACCTGGTCCACACCATGCAGGTCAAGGCAGCTTTTCCTTCCATTTCTTCCCAGTGAACTCCTGAATCTCTCCTTTACCTCCATCCCTGTGCCCGCCTAGTTTTTATACACTGTTTTCTTAAATGTTCTCCCTTTTAGTGTGTTTTTGAAAAACAAACCTCATTTCAAGCTGCTTTTTCTAGTCTGTTAGTGTGTCAGTTTGTCTACTACATTGGTCCTGAATTTCTTCTATTGAACCGCTGGATGGATTGCCATTTAATTTGGTGCAAAACATCACTGTACCTTACTAAAAGGATGAATCCTAACGATTTTGTTGATTTCCTCACTCTCCCTGAAACGCCACGTCAGATTCTTTATTTATTCTGAAATATTTAAACATCTGCATGGATTGGTACTTTTTTTTTTTTTTTTCCACCTTCTGCCTTTCGCTCACATCATGATGTTGATATTTGAGTTTTAGAGTGGTTTGATAATGTCAGTTTTATTGTTGATATGTATATCACATTTCCCAATGAATTTTGTACAACCATTCATTGTATACGATACATCCTAATAACTTCATGATCCCCTGCCGTTTCCCCTCAAACATCTCTATTGCTGAGAATCTTGCTGTGTAAAATCAGTATAAATAGGAACAACATCAGGTCAACTGGTTTATGACTAAATATATGCTAAACTTATAACATTCCCATTCACCTCTTTCTTTAACTTTCTTTTTATGAGCATATCAGGCTGACATTAGCATTTAGCTGAAAGTACCACTGTGTAGTACAACCTCATAGAGCTGCTAGCATGGCTGCCTCTCACATCTTTTGCATCCATTATTCAAAACCCTCTATAGTCTACATATTTGACCTATTCATCCAGACATCTGACAGATAGTTAAACAAACACAGCATCACCCATCCCCAAATCTAAAACCCATTCACTCCATATCAGCCAATCCCACTCCCTAAGCCTCCTCCTTTCTCTAGCTGCCCTTGAGCTTTTCTATTACCGCATGGAAAGCACCTCGCAGCCCCTGACAAGCGCGGCGGATCGACACTAAATCAGAAATCAGTGCCAGCCGCAGATCTGAGCCACCATGAAGGTCACAGGCCCTACACTGCGTGTCGTCTCAATCGGGGGAGCAGGAGTAGACACAGCTAGGGTGATGTGTGACTGTGTGTGTATGGTGTGTGTGTATCTGTGTGTTAACAGGGGAGACACCGAGAGGAGGAGGAGAAAGGAGAATGGATGAGGAGGATATGGAGGAAGAGCAGGTCAACATTGACGCAGAAGTCATTGGATGGAGAGAAATAAGGGGAAGTAAAAACAAGTGTAGACAGAGGTCTTCATAAAAAGACCATCAAAATAATATAAGAGAATCAGTCAAATCATTGGATTTTATCTCTCAGTATAATATAGATACATGTTAAAACCTTTGATACAAAATTTAATACAGTTTTTTTCCTGGCTATCTTGGGTTTGAAGCTTCCTCTGATCTCATGGGATTGATACACACTGCCATCTAGTTGTAAAAAGGAGGATGACACTCAGAACTGTGTGCTTGTGACTTCCCTTGGTGGTTTGAATTTCTCACAACAGAATAATGTAGGCCTATTTGCAGTTTGACATTAAAAGGCTGTTTTTACATTCATAAAAAAATAAAATATTTATATAAAGTAATCGTAAAAACGAATACGTTCATATAATTAGTGAAGACTTTAAAAAAATGTAAGCATGGAGCATAAAACCAGAGGGTCGTTCAAAATGACCGGTTTTGTTCTCTGATTGGGCTATTTTTTCTCAGACAAAACAGTTTTTATATTCCTAGATTTAGCAGAACATATCATTTAAAATATATAATTTTAAACAGTTATACCGTACATATTCGCCAAATCAGATTCCCTTCCTCATGTTTATTGTGTCCACCAAAAACCAACGGAAATTCTTTGCAAGTGAGAACCTACCTACTTTTTCATTACACAATTATTGACATTTTTTACACACATTTTTATTTTTGTTGAAAACCCCAAATGTGAATCAAAACAGTATTTTTTTTACATATGTTAAATTTACTCCGCCGTATATCTTTAAGGAAAACACGTATAATAAATAAAATGTGTTAAAGAAGTACCAGTATTTGTCGGCAGAATGATGTTTGTCCTGCCAATGCTTCCGTAGCTTGAGTCACATGAATGGTTTGTTTTGGTCGTGACAGAATCTGTACATTAACACATAGCTAGCAGACACTACTGCAACAACGTTATATTCTGGTTAAAATATCAGATGAACAAAACATAGATCTTAAAATCTTCTCTCAAGGGCGAGAAAAAAGGACATACATCAGGCGGAAGCGTCTCTGGTTTCTGTTTACGCTAATGAGTGGTGAGACGAAGTGCACGCGCACCTGTAGTGTTGTTGTGCTTCAGTTACACAGTTGTTATGTTATTGGCTCTAATTTAGATTAATATGTAAACTTGCTTTCTTCTGTGTCATTCAGCCAACCTTAACCGTCAAAAACGATGCTTCGGTGGATTCTTGGTGGTCGAGAAGCTCAGGGTTCATTGGAGGTAAGCTGTAACGGGGTAGCTATGAAGCTAATGCTATGCTAACTGTTTGATCAACGTTTATCTTTTTCTAACGTCACTGTGAAGTCAGTTTGAGGTTGGATAACTGACAGCCATCCACTGCGGTCTGTCTACTCTGTCTCACTGACTGTCTGCTGTTTAGTTTGCAAAAATTAAGCCTTACAATAAAAAACTGCCGAATTGTATCAATATACAAAATAGAAGAAGATATAATACAGTAAAAAGAGACGCAAGCTACTTATCCACGTATAGTCATATACGTATAGTCTATCAGTATTACGGTCTGGATTGAATTTAGACATGAGGGCGTTTAAAAAATACATTTAATTAAAATATCAATATAAAAAATGTTTTGGACTACAATCCAATTAAAAAGGCTTGTCCTACTCTTCCAGTGTAGTAATTAAATGCTTCAATAATTTTAAGTCACTGGGTTTAAGGTTAGTTTATGAATGTAGTAGCACATTTCATCATAGTACACATGGAATTCAAAGATCCTTACAAAACGTTACATGACATGGAAGCTAATAACAAAATATAGACTTTTCAATTGAAAACAGCAACACATTTTACATAATTATTGTCTGCTGAGTTAATAAACTTTTCTTTTGCACTTTATGTACATTTAGGCTATTTCATCAAGTGGTCTCTGAAAGGTCACACGATACATCTTGTGAGATAAATATGAGAAAAAGGAAAGCAGAGAATGCAAAGCTCTGCAACACAAATCACTTCCTAATTTGCTGACTTTTCTCTAACTTTCCTTTTTATTATGAAATATTGGATCATTTGACTTCTGTTGGCCTCAATGTAAGAAGCTAAATGTCTCTTTAGTGAAACACATGCAAGACATCGGAAACATGCCGTGGGGCCCAAGTGAACAAACTTTATTGACACCAAACCAAAAAACAAACAAAAGGTTGCATTGTTTTTAATTACCGTATCGTATTAAGGTAAAATCTTAATATGAAAAGTAATTATAGCTGTACTAAAAATAATGAGCAGTAAAAAGTACAACATTTCCCCATTTGAAATGTAATTGAGTACAAGTATAAAGCAACAAAAAATGGAAATACTTAAAGTACACATCCCTTAAAATGTAGTACGTGTGATACTTAAATAAATGTACTTTCCACCGTTATTTGTCCCTGCTCTTCCTCTCTCAGAGACTCTCACTCTGCAGCTCAGCTTGTGTCTCACTACTTTCCTCCTATGTCTGCAGAAAAATTCCGTGTTGTGCATCGGAGAGGAACAGCCCAAAAACTGGTTCACTGAGCTGCAGGTGCTGAAAGGACATTTTGACATAGTTCGATTTCTGGTGCAGATTGATGACTTCAGGTAAGCAGACCACGACCCCCCCTCCATCCTCTTTTCTTTTTTTCTTCTCTTTCTAACCTCTCTCCTCTCTACCCTTGGCTGGCCTCTATCCCTCTGTGATTGACAGGAGATCCTCACCTACAGAAAACATACAGAGCATGACAAGAGCCCAATCATCACCACTCTGTGATTGTGTGTGCAGTACAGTATACACAAAGCCCTTTAATGCTGTCCGTACACACATGCACGCACACATCTCTCCTCCGCTGCTTTGTGAGAGCATGCTGCACACCTCATGGTAGAGTGGGTCTGCATAAGTGCTCAGATTGGGATTTATAACAGAACTAAGTACGTGTGTGTGGGTCTGGTTGTGTGTGTGTGTGTGTGTGTCAGGG